CCGAGTTCCCTGAAGCCAGATTGGACTCAGTATGTGCCTCATCTGAGCTCCCACAGTGACTTGTGTGTCCTCTTGAGACGCCCACAGTGATCATGTCCCCCAATAAGTCAGAGCTGTCAAGAGAGGGATTGGATCTGACCCATCCTGTAGTAGCTAGAACAGAAGTATACATTGTTAAACGATTGTTGAATGACAGGAGAGGGGTTCAGGAAAGAGCACAGTTCTGGATGACATTTAGCAAAGTGGCAGGGCCAGGACGCTAACGCAGGACTCTCTAGGTCGCAAATTAAAAAGCCCTGGTTTTAGGGGCACCTAGGTGACTCAGTGGTTGAGCGTCTGCCTTTGGCTCAGGTTGTGATCCCGGGGTCCTGGGATCAAGACCCGCATCAGGCTCCCTGCAGAAACCTGCTTCTCCGTCTACCTATGTCTCCGCCTCTCTCTTGCTGTCTGTCATAAATAAGTAAAATCTTTTTTTAAATTTTTTTTATTTATGATAGTCACAGAGAGAGAGAGAGAGAGAGAGGCAAAGACACAGGCAGAGGGAGAAGCAGGCTCCATGCACCGGGAGCCCGACGTGGGATTCGATCCCGGGTCTCCAGGATTGCGCCCCGGGCCAAAGGCAGGCGCCAAACCACTGCGCCATCCAGGGATCCCATGAATAAGTAAAATCTTAAAATAAAAAAAAATAAAAAGCCCCGGTTTTAACCACAACCCATTACTGTTTTCTGCACTCAAAATCCAGTATCTTGCACTCTGATCCCAGCACCTTCCAGGCCCCCAGACCCTCAGGTCCCCACTGCCATCACACCTATAGATTAACTCACAGAGAGCTCCTCTGCCCTGATCCCTTTGTTTGGGGCCAGTTGGCCAGACCCCTCTTGGCTTCTCTCCCTTCCCTGCACAGCCAGAGCCTCATATTGGACCATCTTATTTAAGTTTGACTTTGTCGCATTTATCTCTCTGCATTCTCTTTTAATAACCTAGTGCCTTAAAAACACTTCTTATTCAATTTAAACAAATGTTCCCTGAGGGGCGTCAGTTGAGCATCCAACTCCTGAGTTCGGCTCAGGTCATGATCTCAGGGTTGTGAGATGGAGCCCAGAATTGGGTTCTGCATACTCCCCTCTCCCTTTACCCCCACCCATTGCTCACTCTTTAAAAGAAGAAGGAGAAGGAAAGAAAAGAAAAGAAAAGAAAAGAAAAGAAAAGAAAAGAAAAGAAAAGAAAAGAAAAGAAAAGAAAAGAAAAGAAAAAGAAAAAAGAAAGACAAGACAAATGTTCCTGAGATCTCATACATACTGTTCCATCTATCTGGATTACCCTTGCCCATACCATCCACTCAAAGACTTCTTACTCCTCATTCAAGAGTGAGCAGAAATTAGTCATCAGGGTGAAGAAAAATAAACGACGATACCACACGTTCATCAGACTGGCAAAACTAAAGTGTCTGACAATACCAAGTGTTGATGAGGATGTGTAAAGACAGGATGCAAAGACAACTCTCATTCAGTGCTGGTGGGAGAGTAATCTGGTACAAACACTTTAGAAAAATACTTTGGCAATGTGGCAGGCTGCAAAATGGCCCCCAAAACATATCTTCGGCTCAATCCCCGGAATCCATGAATGTTATCATGGATGGCAAAAAGACTCCAGATGTGGTTAAAGTGAGGATTTTGAGATGAGATTATCCTGATCATTTGAGTGGTCCCTAAATGTCATAACATGTGTCCTTATTAAGAGGGAGGTCAACAGAGATGTGACACAGACAGAAGAGGAAGCAATGTGATCACAGAGGCAGAGATGGGAGGAATGTGGCCACAAGCCAAGGGATGCTGGCACCCATCAGAAGTTGGAGGAGGCAAAAAACAAATTCTTCCCCAGAGCCTTTGGAGGGAGTGTGGTTCTGCTGACATCTTGATTCTGGCCCAGTGAAAATGATGTTACACTTCTGGCCTCCAGAACTACAGAGAATACATTTCTGTTGTGTTAAGGCATCAGATCTGTGGTTATTTATTACATCAGCCATTGGAAACTAATATTGGTGGCATCTATGAAACCTGAACATACCCACATCCAGCAGTCCCCCTTCCAGGTATATCCCAATAGAAATGTGAGCATTTGCTCACCAAAAACCATGCACGACAACATTTGCAGCAGCATTACTCATTATAGCCCCAAAGTGGAAATGATTTCTACGTCCATCAACGGTGCGATGCATGAAGTACTTTGTAGGATGGTCATAAAAATGAGTCAACTGCAAACAGACACATAGAGGAACCTCACAAACGTGACACTGAGCAAAAGAAAGCAGACGCAACAGAAGACATATTGTACGATTCCATTTATATCAAGTGCAAGAGATAAACTTAACTACATCGAGGGACATAAAACAAGCCAAAACGAAACAAAAGCAAAGAATTATTACTGTAAAAGGCGGGATGGTGTTCCTAGCTAGGGGAAAGAAGGAGCAGGTGTGGTCAGGAGGGAGTATATGACAGCCAGGTGGCAGGGGGTGGGGGATGTCTGGGATGCTGGCAATGTATTTCTTAATGTGGGAGGCACAGGTGTTTCACAAACACACTAACACCGCACTAGCAACGTATATCCTTTGTCCGTACTTTTCGGAATGTTGTATTTCACAGCTGAAAGGTATGGTGGTGGCGTTGATTCTAAACAGAATGAACAGGGGTCCGATCCTTGAGGCCTTTCTGGGGCGCTCCACTCAGCGTCCTCTGGGCTCCCGCAGCCTCTGCTAATGATTCAGGTCACCGACCCTCCGGGGCTGCGACCCGCGGTGGCCCTGCGTGGCTGGCCCGCCAGAACAGGAGCTGCGGGGCCAGCGCCCGGCCAGAGCGCCGCCAGGGACTCCGGCGGAGGCCTGGGGACAGGTGCGCGGCCACGGGGCCTGCCTCACTCTACCACTTTCTAGCGTTACTGTGACTGTGATCGTGGCCAGCCCGTGGGAGCTGATGGCCGCTGAGCAACCGACGGGGGGCGGACTCTGCACCGCCGCCACTTACCTCTGACTCTCCCTAAGGCCTTCAGGGGGGCTGCTCTCTCTGCTGGGAGGCTTCCTCTCGGTCACTCGGTTGAACTCCTACTCATCCTGCAAGAGCCAGATGCGGGCTCCTCTCCTCTGTGAAACCTGCCTTCCTCTGAGCTCCCACAGGCCCCTCCGTCGCCTGGCCGCAGCCTGTCCATGCCCTGCCCCACAGAATCTGTCCCAACTCCTGAAGATCTTTGATCTCCCCGGCTTGTGTCCTCATGGCCTGGGTCTGACCCACTTCTGAGCCTCTGGGGTGCGTCGGTCACCGCCGGTGCCGGGCGCGGGCTCTGGCAGGTCCAGGCGAGCTCCACAGCGCGCGCGCCCACGGAGGCTCTGCAGGCGAGACGTCTCAAGGTTCCCGCCACCGCCGACTCCTGCATGCACTGCGCCTGCGCGGGCGCCGGCGGCCTCGCGGTTAGGCGTCCCTACGCCCGGCACGCGCGTGCCAGCGAAAGGGGCGGGCCCCGGCTGAGGAGGACGGGTGGGAGGAGCCTAGAGGACGGGCGGGGCCTGGGCGGGGCGCGGGCGGGGCCCGTGTCACGGAACTGACGCGCGGACGGGGCCCGAATCTCTCCCAGCGAGGAGGCGGAGTCATCACTCAAAAGGGGCGGAGAGACAGGCCTCAAAGACCATGAAGAGGCCAACTCTGCAGCTCAGCCCAGCGGCGGCAGTACCGGCAGCCGCTCGACACCCAAGTACGGAAAGCCCCAAACCTTCAAGAGAAAACCTACTCCCGCCCAGACCCAGGAGAGTCCCCCAGCTGTTGGGAGGAAGGGGCGTGGAAACCTCCCACCTGCCTCCCCAACCTGCGTCCACTAGGGCAGAGAGCTCTGGAGCTCAGCGCTTCTCCATCCCCCAGGCAAGTCACCTCCCTTCTCAGAAGCCCATTTCCTGTCAAAAATGGGGGTAGAAGGGATCCCTGGGTGGCGCAGCGGTTTGGCGCCTGCCTTTGGCCCAGGGCGCGATCCTGGAGACCCGGGATCGAATCCCACATTGGGCTCCCGGTGCATGGAGCCTGCTTCTCCCTCTGCCTATGTCTCTGCCTCTTTCTCTCTCTCTGTGTGACTATCATAAAATAAATAAAAAAAAAATTAAAAAAAATAAATAAACATTGCATTTAAAAAAAAAAAAATGGGGGTAGAATCCCTACTTCACACAGGCTAAGCATCAAATAAATAGATCTTGAGTGGGTGCCCAGGAGACCTCAGCTCCCTCCCGGCGAGGGTGAAGGGCTAGTCTGAAGTCACAGAGCAAATAGACCAGGTCCTGACTCCAGGACAGAACTCAGCCCCCAGACTTGCCACTCTCCCTCTACACCAACACAGGCCAGGCGTCCAGGTTCCCAAGTGTGGGCAGGAGCGCCCACTTCCCCAGGAAAGGCCAACAGTCCCTGCCACCCCCTAACTTTGGTTCTCTTCCCCACAGGAAGGAAAACCTTGGTTATTGTGTAAGAAACCTGAGTTCCTAGGCCCTTAAATGAGGGATCGGGAAACCCAGGAGGCCACAACCTCCTGTAGCCGCAAGGGAGCAGAAAGCCGTACTGCGCCTCGGGAGGAAGAATGCAGGTTCAGATTTAAGAGGTGACCGTCCAGAAGGCACGAAGAGCCAGCTGAAAAGGGATTCCAGGCAGAGAACTGTGGCTCATGACCAGTTTGGTTTCCAAAGCTTTGGGCTAGAGAGCTGGCTCACCTCTGGGAATAAAATAAAATAGTAGTATTCTCAGGAATAAAACAAGAGCAAATGCGGTTGGGACGGGTTAGGACTCCAAGGCAGTATTCCCTTTGACAGATGAGGAAACTGAGGCCCAGAGAGGAGGGCAGCAGGCCTGTGGTGCCAGCGGCGGATGATGCCCCAGCACCCTACCCCTCCTCCAGCCTGATACCGGGCCAGGAACCCCAGGATCTCATCAGCTCCTTCCCCCAACCCACAAAGAAAGAGTCCTAGGGAGCCTTGATGCCCACCCTAAGCCCCAATCCAGGGCAGTTTTATTGGTGCCATTTGTAAAAGGCCTTTCCCATCAGCCCCAAGCCTTTGCCTTCCCTTTCTGAGAAGGAAGTTGCTGATCCTGGCCCCATGGGTGACAACACACTTGGTCTGATACTGCTGTGATGCATGTGTGACATTCCAAGTGCAGGTCCTTGTGCAAGTCTGCATCCAACCATGGGCAGCAGGAAAATGTGGAGAGCCAGGTCTGTGTATGGAAGCTGGGCAGAGCCCTGGCTGGCTGTAGAGATGTGTGGGCAAGGTGAGCAGGCCCCGTGTACACCCAAGCCCCAGTGCCCAGCGTAGCTGAGGTCCAGGATTGGGGGCAGTAAAATCAGAGATCCTGAGAGAGAAGCCCTTGGGCCAAAGACATGTGTGGTGGCCAGGGCAGGAGCCCAGGTGAGATTCCAGAGGGGCAGTGTGCATGTTCGTGCACAGCCCAGAGGCAGGGACACTGTGTGCAGGGGGCCTTTGGTGAATGTGTAGCTATGCCTCCCTCCCTTTCTGATCTGCATGCCTGAGTCCCTGGCCTCCTGAAGCTGGGGGTACACACCAGAGGGTAGGGTGGGGAGGAGGTTGGGAAGGAAACTCAGGTGGAAGTGGTTTAGGCCTCAGAGCCCACATCCTGTGGGAGAGTCTGTCAAGGAGCCAGGCCATCTGTCCCAGTCCTCAGAGCTGCTGGAGTGACAGTCCTCTAGGGGCAGAGATGGATGTCCTCTGGGGGAGGAAATAGCCCAGAGGCTAGGAGGTGGGTTTAGTCCTCCCCGTTCCAGGATCAGGAGGCCTCAGTCGGGCGCCGTCCCCCTCCTCCTCCATCAGCAGCAGGCGGCGCCGGCCGGCCTCGTAGTCGGCCTCGTCCACACTGACCAGCAGGCGGACAGCCTCCCGGCCCACGGCCTCACGAAGGGCCTCAGTCAGGAACACGCCCCGCAGGGCCTGCAGCAGGGCACCACTCAGGTAGTCGCCCCAGAAGGCGTCCAGATAGGAGAGCTCTGAGAACTTGATGTCGCAAACCACGGAGCCCAGGTCTCGTGAGCGCAGCACTGCGGTGGCCTGCCCAAACACGTCCAGCTGCCGTGCCAGCGCCTGGGGCCGCCGGGATGCCACGCCCTGCTCCAAGGCAGGCCCGTGCTCACAGTACTCTGCTCGCACCCTGAGCCGGATGTCTGCGGAGAAGGAGGGACCAGTCAGGGAGGGGCCAACACTTCACACACTGTGCAATGGGACTGGAGGATACAATGGGACTAAGGACAGAAACCCTTCCTCTCACCTTTCCTCCCCCACAAGCTCCTCCCACCACCCCATGGGTTGCACTGCACCTACCCACATCCTTCCCCCTTCTGGCACCCACACCCAAGGATGGGTGACACCCTCCCATGGCTTCCCTCCTGTGGCCTGGCCTCTGTTACCTCCTTCCTGACCCCACAACCTCCTCTCCCCTCACGTGCCCCACTCTAGCCTTAGCACTCTGCTGTACCTCCACTCACCAAGCAGGTTCTATCCATCCCTGCCCTCTCCTTTGACTAAGGATGCTCTGTGTGTCCCTGTAGCACTTGCTCCCTTACTTCCTTCAAATGCCACCTTCCCAATGAAGCCTCCCCAACCTCCCAGTGAAAACTTCACCACCAGCACCCTGGCCCCCCACATTCCCAGTCCCTCACACCCTGCTCCATGTCTTCCCAAGGCACTTACCACCTTCTAACCTCCTCTGTGCTCTCCCTTATACTGTCATGCTTATCACCTGTCTCCTCTGGGTGAGCCTCCTGTGAGCCCCCTGAAGTTAGGGGCTATCTGGTTTTGTTTTTGTTTTTAAAGATTTTATCATTCATTCATGAGAGACACAGAGAGGCAGAGACACAGGCAGAGGGAGAAGTAGGCTTCCTGCAAGGAGCCCAATGTGGGACTTGATCCCAGGACTCCGGTATCAGGACCTGAGCCAAAGACAAGAGGTTCAACCACTGAGCCACCCAGGTGCCCCCAGGGGACTGTCTGTTTTATTCACGTGTGTAGCCCTGTGGCACACAGTGGGTGTTCAATACATATTTGTGAAAGAACCAATGCATGGACCAACGGATTTGCTTTGAGGCAACCGGCCTCACGTCCTCCTGCCACCAGAGAGACTCCTTTGGGGCCAGCCACATCCTTAGCACCCACCCACCAAGTGAGCACCACCCAGGAGTCTCAAGGCTGGACCTGGCTGGATCTGCTGGCAGCAGGTGCTCTTTACCCTCAGAGGCTGCTGAGATGGTGGGCTGTAAGCCCGGAGCTCCTGGGGGCCACCTGGCCACCAGGAGGGGAGAGTATGAAGCCTACCCAGGGTCAACAACAGAGAGGAAGAAACAGGGGTTTCTTATGCATCCCCCGAACACCCAAATTTGCAGCTACAATCAATGCCCTTTCTGCTAAGGCCAGTCTGAGCGGAGTTTGTTGCTTACAACCCTACCCATATCTGCCCAAATGAGAGGACAGCTCTGCAAAGGGCACAGGCTCCAAGACTTCTTCCTAGACTGTCCCTGTAAATGTGTCCTCAGGCGTATCACACCTCCCTGTGGGATTACTGAACTCCCACTTGTGACACAGGCTACTAACAGAACCTCCTCTTCAAACAACACCGGCTGTGAGAATCAGCTATGAGCTGGAAATGACAACAGGCACTACCCACATATGAACTCATTTAATCCATGAACACCCCGTAAGGCAGGCCCTATTATCACCCCAATTTACAGGTGAGCAAGTGGAGGCAAAGAGAAGGGAAGTGATTTTTCCAAGGTCACAAGGCCAGGGAGTGGTAGTGCCCCACAGAGGTCACTGAACCTCCTGTGCCCCACAGGGCAGCTTCTGGTCAATGGAAACAATTCTAACCCAGGAGCCTTAAGGCACCAGCTGTGTGACCGGCACAAGCCACCACCTCTCTGAGCCTAGGTTCTTGCCTGAACCAGGGAATTCTGACTCTGGAAGGCTGCTGAAAGGATTAAAGAGAGAGCGATGGATGGAAAAGAAGTGGCTAGCACTGCAAATAGTGCCCGACAAGTGCTCCAAGAACGGCAACCGCCAACAGCTCCGATGTGCCAATGCTTTACCCCTAGTATTCAGAAGGACCAGCCCTGTAGGGGCAGGGGCCACATGCAACCCATTTGACAGATGAGGAAACTGAAGCTCTGGAAGGGGAAGTGCCATGTCCCCATCTCCCTTAGCCTTCCATACACAGTGTCAGCAGCAGAGCACAAGGTAGAAGGCAGGTCCCTGCTGCCCCAGATGACTTCTCAGTAGTACCCACTTCCTCCTCCCACCTAAACCCTTTCTCTTTCTACCTCAAGGAGAACCTCATCCTCTCTGCCTGAAGCCCAGGGCAACCTACCTGGCCTTGGCCCCTCGGACTTCCCACAACACTCAGGCCCAGCTCCTTCCATCTTAAGAACCACACAAGAAAAAAAAAAAAAAAAAAAAAAGAACCACACAAGACCTCCAAGCCCACATCCTAGACTCCCAGGGGCGTCTGACCATGCCCTCAACTGGTGTGGGCCAGGGAGCAGGGGATTGGGAGGGGCAGCACCTGTCCAAGGCCACACGAAGCAGCTCAGTGGCAGAGGCACAGAGCCAGGTGGCGGAGTCCGACAGACCTTGAGGCGAGTCCCGGCTCTGCCACTCTCTAGCTGTGGGGCCTTGGGCATGTGACCTCACCTCTCTGAGCCTCAGTTTCCCCATCTGAAAAACATAAACAGACAAACAAGAGGTCCCTGCTGCATGGTGCAATCGTGAGGGTTCAATAAGGCAACTCACAAAGCACTTGCCCCAGGGCCTAGGACACAGAAGGCACCCAGAAACAGGAACTGTGATTTCAACACCCACCACTCTACCCCATGGCTCCTGCTCAGGCCTGGCTCTCTCTTGCTTGGGCCCCTTAGTTAATTCCTCCCTCAGTCCCCACTGCATTCTCCCATGCTCTGAGACTCCAGGTGCAAGGGCAGCACCCCCAGCACAAGCCTTACTCACTCACACAATGACCTGTCTACCTCCTCTGCCCACAACAGCCCCATTCACCCGCCAAGGCTCAGCTTGCGAGACCACATGTCCTGAGCCCGTGAAAGCCTCCTAGATGGCCTTTCTCCTCAGCACAGTTGGGTATTCAACCTGTGGCAGAAACTGTTCACCACAGCCTACCCCCAACATGGGAAGTGGAAGGACAACAGGACCAGGATGGACTAGTGTATGTCCCAACCATTCTTTCATTTGACAGATGTATTTACAAAGTGCCAGGAACGCTAGCATGGCATGCATGCCGCCACCAGTGTGCCTAGGAGATACAAAACCCCAGTTAGGGAGCACCTCTCGTGGGCCAGGCCCTATCCAACGGTTCTCCAGATCTTCAGCCCCAAATCCCCACCGTACTTTCCTATCTCCATTGACAAATGAGGAAATCCTTCACCATGCCACAGCCCAACCTCGGGTCTGGAACACAACAGCATGACGCACAGAGAAAGAGCACAAGGAGACTCCAGGAGGGAAAAGAAGACCTGCATTACCTGAGCCTCCCTCTACTCCCCCTAGCCAGGAATCAGAGGCAACAGGTGCAATCTCTCCTTTAGTCCTCACCAAAATGACCGAAGAACAATAGATGATCTCCATATAGCATTTACCGCAGACTAGCACACACACGGCATGTATTGACCCTCTGATTATCCTTGCAACCTTATAGGACAGTGCTGTTAACTCCTTTCGGCAAATGGGGAAACTGAGGCACCCAGGATGAGTCACCTGCCTGAGGCCACACAGACAGGAAATGGCAGAGCTGGAGTTCCAACTGGGGTGCCTGGCTCCAGAGCCTGAGCTCTTAATTACCTCTGTTCTGTTTGCTGCCTCTCACACAACAATACACAGAAACCTGTAATTAAAAGACATCCCAAGGGCCATGAGAGAAAATTAGAGAGTACGAGGTGTAATTTAGATTGTAACAGAGAGAACCTCTCTAGGAAATGACACTGGAAGTAAAATGCGACGAACAAGCAGGTCGAGAGAGAAAGAGAAGGAAAAGCAGCCTTCCCAGAAGACAAACCGGCTTGCAGGAAAGTCCAGAAGCTGAACGTGAACTTGAGGCTTTCACAGGCTGGGGGCCGGTGTCGCTGGAGCACATGGAGAAGGGAGGCAGGGGAATGAGCAGAGGTGCGGGTGGAATCATGAGGGGCAAGGTGTCACAGCCTCTGGGAGGGGACCACAGCCCTCCGCACTGCAGTGGCCACCTCCATAAAACCTCACCCCGGCACCTGCTCTCCTGGGGCTGGTTGGGGGATCACATGGCTGGATGCAAGTGAGGAGCACAGGCCAGTGCCTTGCACATAATGAGCCCTCTGAGGGCCACAGGAAGGATACAACCTCACCCCAAAGGACTCCGCCTGTACCCCAGAAGCAGCCTGACAGTCTGGGACAGAGCCAGGGTGGCAGTCGGGGAAGGACAAAGGCGTTCAACCCAGGAAAGATGCAGCAGAGAGAAGTGAATGATCCAGGCCCAGGTGTGTCAGGAAGGAGCAGAGTGGGGAAGAGCATGGACCAGGGGCTGGCTGAACTGTGTCCTCTGGCCAGAACAGCAAGCATGGGCCAACGGTCCCTCTCCACTTGGGCAGCTGGATGGAAAGGCTCACTGGCCCCAGGGCAGAGGCCATGGCTATACTCTCCTTAGTGAGAAGAGCTGCTCTTGCTCCCACACTCTGGTGGGCCCCAGCACTCTCTGGTCCTCCTGCCCCACACGTCAACCCCCTCTCTACTAGGGCAGAGGGAGATTTGGAGGGAAACAGGCAGGTATTCCCAGTGGAGGACCAGAGAAGGGACAGGGACAGGCCAAGGGGGAGAATGGCAGCCAGGGTGCTCTGATGGAAAGACCCCTGCCCCTCCACGGCCATTCCAGGGGTCCCTCTGGACAACAGAGGCACCCATCCCTTGCTTTAGTCTCTTCCCTAGGATGTGGCCAGCATCATCACATCAGATATGAGGTTCTGCTAAACTAACAGATGGAGGCAATGAGGAGCCACTGCCACCAATGTCAGAGAAAGATAAGCAGCCACTACCTGCTTCCCAATGGAAGGCCACACCACCACCTGGGGAGTGAGCTTGAAAATAAAACTAAACATCACATCAGAATCTGATCACGTCTCTCTAGACCAACTACCGATTTTCAGGAAACAGACTACAGGGGACCGTATCAATCACCTCAACTGTGGGATGCAACTAACAAAATCCAGTCTTGGGCAGCCCCGGTGGCACAGCAGTTCAGCGCCGCCTGCAGCCCAGGGCGTGATCCTGGAGACCCTGGATCGAGTCCCACATCAGGCTCCCTGCATGGAGCCTGCTTCTCCCTCTGCCAGTGCCTCTGCCTCTCTCTCTCTGCATCCCTATGAATAAATAAATAAAATCTTTAAAAAAAAAAACTTAAAAGCAAAACAAAACAAAATCCAGTCTTTAGGAATCACTACAGGACAACTACTTTCAACAAATACAAAGCTAGAGGGATGGGGAGGGAGAGAGAAGTGACATGACGAAGGAAATATCAGAGATCAGGAGAGACTTAGAGAGCCAGCAGACAGCTCCTGGTTGGCTCACACGGAGCATCTGCCTTTGGCTCAGGTCATGATCCCAGGGTCCTGGGATGGAGTCCCACATCGGGCCCCCTGCTCAGTGGGGAGTCTGCTTCTCCCTCTGCCCCTCCCCCTGTTCCTGCTCTCAAATAAATTTAAAAAGAACCAGCACTTCTGAGACAACCAGACGTTGGAGCACTGATTAGACATTTAAACAGTTAAGGAACTTAACTTTCGCGTGGTGATTTTTCAAAAATTCTGATCCTTTAGAGATACACAGTGAAAAATCCACAGATGAAATAAAAAGACACCTGAAAGTGACTCCAAAACCATGGATGGTGCAGCAGGATGACCCACGAGCTGATAATAATGGCGGAAGCACAGTGAAGGCGGGGGAAAGGGGTCATCATGCCGGTGTGCCTGCCTCTGTCCCTTCACCACAGAAAACAGGAAAAAAGTCCATTCTGCCACTCAAATCCTCTGGCTGCTTTCCGTCATTTAAAGCAAAGAAAGCACTGGCCCATGCTGCTGGCCCTGCAGGATGAGCCCCACACCTCCCAGCAATCTCCCCTTTACTCCCTGGGCTCCAGTCTGGCCAGCTTCCTCACCATCCCTTCACCACCACTGGCTCACCCTTACTCAGATCTTGGCACCTGCTGTCCCCAGATCTAGAACACTCTTCCCCGGCCATCCACACACTCTATCTCTTCCAAGAGGGCTTCTGAGACCACCCTACCACCCACACATCTAAAGCTGAATTTTCCATCTCTCTCTACCCCCTTGCTCTGCCTTCTCATCTCAGCTGCCATCTGAAGTTTCTCTGTCTTGGTTTTCTCCTCCCATCAAAACACACGCTCCATATGCACAAGCACCTCCCATCCCTGCTGTGCCTAGTGCGTAATAAGTTCTCTAAGAATACACATGGAATAAGAGAATGAACCAACCCTGCCACTCTGCACAAGGAGTGCTATCACCCCTACCTCAGGGCTGTCTTGAAAATTCAGGGCCAGGTGAGTAGTATGCCCAGCACAGTGCCCGATGGATGGCCTTGAAAGGGATGTGGAAACTCAGAGGATCTGTGTCCAAACCCGGGGTACTCTAGACACCCTTCTTCCCCTTCAGAAACCCAGAGTTTGGTCTGGTTCTACCCCTCTGGGGAGGGCACCTGACTAGGGGCAATCCCCACAGCGGTCACACATGAGGGGCAAGAATGGCAGATCACGCAGGTCTGAACGAGCCTCCTTCCACCCCTGGTACTGGGCCTCGTTAAAGGTGAGCCATCCCAGCTTTCAGAGGGAAGGAACCACCAGTGCCCTTACTGGGAAGGGCCTCCCTCCAGCCCCACCCTGCCTAGTGAGTCAGCAGTTAGACCTGCTTACAGTCCTCCCAGCAAGACCCAGCCACACCCTGGGTAACAACCTTCCTGCCACAGCCCTGCCCTCTGGGAAGAGACCTGAGGCCTCTGCAGGCAACAAGACCCCTCCCCAGCCCCAGCTCAGCAGGGGGAGGCAGTGACTCCCTCTGCTGCAGCCAGCCAGCCCAGTGGCTCTGCTAATTGCTGCTGGCCCACCAGGCAGCCACTCCCTCTAGCTGAGGGTTGTTGGAGGACACTGGCTGGCTCTATTGGTCTGTTCCTCCTGGCAGCACTCAGCACAGGTTATCTGCAGCCTCATCCGTGGAGTGGATGTGACACTCAAGAGAGGGAACCAAAGAGGTGTGGGCTGAGTGAAAGAGAGCACATCTACACACCTTAGAACCAGCCGGAATTTCTCGAAGGCAAGGTCTGAGCATGAATCTCTAGAGCAGAGCCCACCACCCACCTGACCTAACACACCTACAGGCCCAGGCAGCCCTTCTCCTCAAGAGAACGTCCCTGGGCCATACCTCCCTCGTCTCCTGCATGGGCTGCCCAGCCTCTTCACTCTATTCTCTGCTCCCTTTTCATTTAATTTATGTAATACCTACCTGGCACGGCACATACTCTTTATATGCCTGACACGCTTTTAAACACTTTATAAATCAAAACTCGTGGGCAGCCCGGGTGGCTCGGTGGTTTAGCACTGCCTTCAGCCCAGGGCGTGATCCTGGAGACCTGGGATCGAGTCCCACATCAGGCTCCCTGCATGGAGCCTGCTTCTCCCTCTGCCTATGTCTCTGCTTCTCTCTCTCTCTCTCTCTCTCTCTCTCTCTCTCTCTGTCTCATGAATAAATAAAATCTTCAAAAAAAAAAATAAATAAATCAAAATTTGTTTATTAACTAATTTTCCAGATGGAGTCAGAGTTCCATCAAAAGCAGGTATCAGATCACCTAGCTCCCCTACTAAAACCCTAAGTAACACGTGCTGTATGGAATAAAATCCCAACTCCCATCTATTCCCAGATCTGCCAGGCCCAGTGGCTTGGCTCCTGCCAAGCTCCTCCACCCACTCCCCACCCTCTGTTCATGGCACTATCTAAAGTGAGCTTTAGTTTCACTGATCTGTCACCCTACTAGAAGGTCGCCTCCCCAAGGGCAGGGACCTCACTGCTATTCCTGTCCCAAGCACACTGCACATAACAAGACAACCCACAAACTGGAACATAGCGCATAGCGCGGGCCTCAAGCCAGGCACCGTTGTGGACATATTACCAGGTTAAATCATTTTCTCTCTCAACTCAACAACCCTACTCGGAAAACACTGTATCAGCCTCGTTTTACACAAAAGGATTCGGCCACCTGCCCAAGGTCAAACGGACTATTTAAAGGCCAAGGCTAAAAGATGAATCTGGCAGCCTGCCCCAGGATCATTTTCTACCCATATGCTATTCCACCCCTACAGAGGAAATGACTGTAGGGTAAGTGAACCCGGAAAAATTTTTTCTGAAAAAAACAAATGAAACTGAGAGCAAGGGGTCGTCAGTAAAAGCTTCCTGAAGGAGGTAGTACATGTGATCCTTCAACTACGGACAGGACAGACAGGACGTAGAAAGCAAGGGGCTGATGATGAACAGAAGCCACTGCCTACCCACTAGGTGTGCCACTCTCTGGACCAGTGTCTGTCTCTGCCATCCTCTGGCTCAGCACCTGGCCACTGGCACTATACATGCATTCACCAAGGCCCACAGACACCTACCACAGGTCACTTTGCCTTCTGAGGCAGGTCTGGCTGGCTCTTGCTGCTGCTGCTGCTGGGGGGTGGTTGGGGTCCCTCTCCGCCGCCGTCTGGCACCACCACTGGGCCGGCCCCGACTCCGCCGCTGCCGCTTGGTCGGTGGGGAGCCTGAGGAGAGAAAGAGGGGCACACTGAGGGCCAGGATAACAGGTAGAGCAGATAGGCAGGTGCCTGCTGAAGAGATCAAGGCTTGTCTCCATGCCAGGAGATCCTGGATGAGCCCCTCCACTTCCTGGGCCTCAGTTGTCCTGGGCCATAAAATGAACAGGGAGTATATCCAACCTAGCATCATCCAGAAGAGCATACCCTACTACTGGGCAGCCCCACTCCCATGTGTGACCCTGAAGAAGCCCCTGCACCACAAGGCCAGGAAGCAAGCATGACAACAAACCACTGGGGCATCTTCCTAATTGTCTAAATGTGAACACAATGTAAATATCCAGCAAGAAATACATAGGGTAACTCCTAGGGCAGATTGGTTAGTGAAATAAAAGCAAAGAGTCAAACAAGTGTCTACAATTTGCTACATCTGTGTGAAAAAAGAGAGAGAGAAAATAAGCATATATACACATTTGTTATTTTTGCAAGACAAAACACTATAAAGATAAATTGGAAATGAATGGAATTAGTTACCTATTCACTAGGAGTGGGGGGCAACAGTGGAAATGATCCTGAGAACATCTTCTGAGAACATCTTTCTCACCCATGTTAGTTCTGACCTTTGAGTCATGAAACTTATTTTACATACTCAAAATATTAGACCCCAAAAACCCCCAACCATAAAATTAAACAGAAATAAATGATTCTAGTTGTATATATAATTGGTAATTCGAACAGAAAAATTATTTCAAGTAACTTGGAAGAACATTCTGACTATAAACTCTCAGTGGGATATACTCCTAGGGCAGGAAGAACCAGGAATAAATGGTATGCTTCATTCAGGAGATACAGTCAGCAGCGGTGCTGGTACTGACGTACTTTCGAAGCTATGCCTGTCGTAAAACAAAGTAAACAAACCTATTATCACAAAGTTATTAATACCTAAAATTTTTAGAGTACCAAGAAAAGTCTTTGTAGTATTAACTTTGAAAACACTAAAATAGGGCAGCCCCAGTGGCGCAGTGGTTTAGTGCCGCCTACAGCCCGGGGTATGATCCTGGAGACCTGGAATCGAGTCCCACGTCGGGCTTCCTGCGTGGAGCCTGCTTCTCCCTCTGCCTGTGTCTCTGCCTCTCTCTCTCTCTCTCTCTCTCTCTCTGAATAAATAAATAAAGCTTTAAAAAAAAAAAAGAAAGAAAACACTAAGATAATTTATTTTTGGAGACAGAAAGAGAAAGCGAACACACATGTATGAGAGCAGGAGAGAGGGGGAAAGAGAGAACCCCAAGCAGGCTCCATGCCCAGCACAGACCCCGACATGGGGCTTGATCCCACAACTCTGAGATCATGACCTGAGCCAGAATCAAAAGTTGGCCACATTAATGAGCCACCTCAGTGCCCCAAAATAACGAATACCAATTTCTTAAAAGCAATTTCTAGTTCTGTTCGCTAAAGAGTCTGGAAACAGCACACACACTCAGCACCCAGGTCTGGGTCTCTAAATGCCAGTGCCTCTAAAAGAAACAGGCTTCTGGAAATAGCAGATTCCAGGACTGGGGAAGGAAAAGTACAAGTTGAGTCCAGGACATCTCACCGTGCCACAGAGCAGGAAGCCCAAAGAATGATGGAGCCACATCAAAAAGACAGTAGGAGCTAGTCAATTTGAACCTCAGGAAGAATGACTAATAAATTCTAACACAGTAAATAAATAACAATACAAGAATACATAGTGCTGCTCCCTCTCCCCCCCCAAGAAAAGAGAGAGAAATAAAGGAAAGTCCTGAAAGAACGCCAGCTAACAGACACTGAAAAATAAGAAAAGAATAAATCACCATTTTGGGAACACCAGTGTAATCACTGGTTCGGGCGGAGATCACCAACACATGCTAAAGCCACTGGGGATGGCGTTGGGGAACAGAATGTGCCAAAGTGTCACCCCACAGATTGTCTAGCCATTAAAGGGGAAAATGTCTGTTTACCAAGGACAAATATGGCAGACACCACCTTACCCGAGTGATCACACTTGCCTACTCACAAGAAAACCAGATCTTAAGCAGCCTGAGGTGTTCTAATGTGAAACACATGGCATCAACCAAGGAGCATTCCTGCCAAAACATGTAACCTGAACCTAATCAAGCCTCCTGACCCACTTTTTATTGCACCTTACTTTACTAAACTCTCAACCCTGGAAATTACTCTAACCTCTTCTGGCCACGTGTTTACGTGATTTTTAAGTTTTGTTTTGTTTTGTTTTTTTTTTAAGTTTCAAGTTATAAACTATACACAGCGCCAGGTGGCTATTGCCATACCTGTCTCCAGGTATATGTGTGTGTGTGTTTGGGGGGGGGGGTCCCACTTCACAGCAGATGCAGGGCACCAAAGGGACCAGCTCAGTGACACCATGAGGAAATTATCAGTCACTTCCAAAAACAATCAGGACATTCTGCAAAACAATGGCCTGACAGGGTCAGTAACTCAACATCAAAGGAAAAAAAGAAACAAATATGGGATGGGAAAGGAGTTTACATTCTAGAGTTAAGAGATTAAGGAATATAATAAATGAAAAGTGGATCTTAAGAGTGGAGACAATCTTGGGGAGATGTGAAAATGATGATGAAAGAGAATTATTTATTTACTTCCGATAATGGTCTGGAGATAGTCTAGGAGAATCTCCTCATCCTCAGGAAATGCCTCCTGATTTAGGAGTAAAATATCCTGATGGCTACAACTTACTTTCAAAAGAGTTCACCCAAGAACCCCACTGTTACATATACACACACAAAGCCAAAATGTCAAAATGCTAAAATTACTGAATTGAGGTGGAAGATAGGAGTACGCTCACTGCACTCATCTTTCAACTTCTCTGTATGCTTCAAATTGTGTTTGAATAATTTAGGAATGGAGGAAGAGGAGACTGCCCACATGAACTGGCAGGGAAACTCAAAGAAACCCATTAAAGGTACTTGACATAAATAATCTCAGAAACACGTCCAGCAAAGTCAGCCATATGAACACCCACCATGTGATGTCATTCAGATGCACCATAAAACCACAACAAACAATTCTATACGTTGCTTCTGGACACACGCTTTTGTAGAATAAACACCACGCACAAAGGAATGTAGAGACGGAATGACCCCCTCGGGCCCCTTCCTTGATGGGTCGGGATGGAGCGGGTTCACCAGGATTCAGGAGGAAGAAAGGGACGCTGCCATCACACCCAGCTCTCAAGGCTCACCTGTCTCCCACTGACCCTGCTGAACCTCTGAGGTACCACTGGACTGGCGACGGCGACGACGGCTACCTTCAGTCCTTTTAGAAGAAGAGCCAGAGGCGGTGCCATAGTTGTAGCGTTCTGGAGACACTTCAGAGAGAGAAAAACGGAAAGAAATATTCACAGCCTCCAACCCCTCCCCGACCCAGGCTCCAATTCCCATCTGGAGATGGACTCCTGCCCCACTAGGTGCCTGAGTTCAGAGCCCAGACAGCCACTCCCTCTCAAATGCTTCCTGCCCAGTGGTTGCTACATGCCTACGAGAGATGAGACCTGTGACCTTCTGGGGCTGTCCAACCCATGTTTATAGCAGCTTCCAATTGTCAGGACTGGACTCTGTATGTCGAGTCATGGCCAGGATCCCTGCAATGTGGCCCCCCACCACCAATTGCCCCCAATGCTCCCTGAAGCCCCAAGAAGTAAGCAGGCTCCCCAAATTCCCTCTTCCATAGCCTGACCTCCACATATATTTTTCTAAATGCACTGTTGGTTCTCCTCTAGTGATGCCCCTCTCCTGGTTATCCAGTTCCCGTGGACTTTCTATGCGCAGGGGAAGTTTGCAATCCCCCTCCGCAACTAGCCACTGCACCTGATAACCCAGCCAAGGGCTCAACAGTTCAGGGCCTATGCACACACAGGACTTCTATCCCTTAAACCCTTGGGTTCCTCACCTTCTCAGAACTGCTCCTCCAGGAGTACTTCCCTCACAGGATTAAGAGCATCAACTCAGAGCCAAGCCAGCCAGGTTTAAATCCTGACTCCCACACTTTCTACCTGTGTCATCTTCAAGCCCCTGAATAAAGTGGTTTCTTACCTCCCCCTCTGCTCTTCGTTTGTCAGTCCCCTTTGCTCCTGCCACACTGGTCTCTGATGATACCAAACTCATTACTGACTCAGGGCTTGAAAGCCTGTCTTTCACTCTGCCTGGCATTTTCTCCTCTGAGATCTATGCACACCAGGAATAGAGAGCCTCCATTCCATCACTTTCTCAGAAAGGTTTGGACTGGTTATCCAATCTGAGGGGAGCTCCCTTCACTAGAAGGCACTCTCTACTCTCTGCATTCCCATAACTCTGCTTTAGTCTTTCCATAACCCTATCTAAAAATAAACCATCTGCCTTGATGGCTGCTTCCCTCCACTAACCATAAGCTTCATGGAATAAACACTTTGTCAGTCTCAACACCCCATACCTCCTGTACTCAGCACATAGGATTCAGTTCTTATATGGGTACAAGCTGCTTAACTTCTCTTAACCCGGTTCTTTTCCCTGTAAGGTGGAGACACTAACAGGGCTCCCCACCCCCGCAGGATTACTGGGAGGATATAAGGCGACAGTTCACATGAAGGGCTTACCGCTGTGCCCAGCATGAAATAAGCCCTCCATAAAGTGGCCACAAACGTCACAGATGTGGCCAAATTCCACAAGTCACAGATGTGGCCAAATTCCACAAGCTCGTGTCTCCCAAAGCCATGTCTCCTCCCTGTCCTGTTCCTCATTGATACTCTCAAAGAAGGGGAGGAGCGAGTGGGGAAGCAGGCTGATATGGTGCTGTCCCTATCAGGCCACCATGGAGGTCCAGCCAGGGCAAGGCCCCAGGCCTACCGGAAGTCTGTCGCCCTCCCATTCAACCATACCTGGCCGGCGCCTCTTGCGCGCCAGGTGCGGCAGCAGGTCGTGGCGCGCCAGGACGCGCAGGAGTTGCCCCAGCAGGCGAAGGTTGCTCTCGTCGCACTGTCCGCGGCGCTCCAGCTCCAGCAGCAGCTCCAGGCCGCTTCGGGCGCGGGCCAGACCGCCGGCCGCGCCGGGGGCCTCGTCGAGCAGGAAGGCCAGAAGCTCCAGCTCGCACTCGGTCAGCTGCCCGCCCACCACCTCGAACATACGGTGAAGCGACAGCATCCCGTAGTAGTCCAGGCATTCATCCTCCTCCCAGCTCGGGGCGGGGGTCAACCCGGACAGCGCCATGTCCGGGAGGGGTGGGTGGCACCAGGGCCTAGAACCCACACAGCGCGGAGGGGACAGTGGTCAGCGACGCGAGGACCCGGGCCCTACTCCCGCCAGCGCGTCTCCCCAGCCCCGTGCTGCCGGGCAGGGCCACCTTCGCACCCCAGCCTTCCCGGCCGTCCGCCTCCCCCCAGAAAAGAATGGTATCGCCCGAGGTCCCCTAGTAACAGGTCGAGACGCTAGACCCCGCTCGTCCTCCCACCAGTAGGGCCCGCCCGGCCCGCACACCCCTCCCCAGGTGGTATGTCCCGAACCAGCCTCCGGATCCGACCGAGTGATCCGGTCCGAACAAGTGTGGGGGCCCATCCCGCGGCACCCTGCCAACCGCCCTTTGACTCTGGGCAGCACTGTCCGGACGTGCCCCTTGGCTCGGTCCTGTGGTATTGTCCGATCAGCGCCGCGGCTCCACCCAAATGGTACCGTCCGAAAGTGACCCTCTGCCCCCCACAATGGAGCCGACCAAAGCAGCCCTTCACCCCACACAGGTGGTGCTGCCCGAACCCGACCCCCTCGCTCTGTTAGGGCGGTACCGCTCTCTCCCCAACACCCAGGTGGCTCCGTCTACCCGCCACCAGTCGCCCTCAGGCCTCTCTGGATCCTCACCAGATTCCGGCGTCTGAGGACTCCTGGGCGACGGCCGCAGCCACTTGTTTTGGATCTTTCTGGCACCTTCTCTATTATTACGCCTGCGTCACCTCGCCCCTCCTCCTTCCCCCAACTCGCGCAGGTGCGACCGCCACGCCCCTTGGGCGCATGCGCAGAGTGAAGCTTCCAAGCCCCACCCCCTCCGGGCCCGCCCCCAACCGTAGCGTCGGGGCCCGCCAGTGCTGCGCCTGCGCAAGACGAGAGCGATTCCGCGTCTGAGTTGGAACTGGTACTTGGTTGCAGGGTTGCTTCTGTCCGCCCGTGACTTAAGGTTGGGTCCCTGTTGCCCCACGTCGAGCCCTATTGGAACTACCCAACTCAGGGACTACGGCCCCATCCTAAGCACGACCTAGACGCCCACATAACCGCTGCTTCCATCTGCCTGTATGCAAGGAACCCCAATCGCCACCGTCCGGGCTTCTCATAGCCCCCAGGCCCCTTATGATCCGGACTTGAATGCTCCTCCATCAGACTGCCCCTACCCCTAATGGCAACCAGGAACCTACGTCACAGCTGTGCCCATCTCATGACCCCAACTGGAATCTCTCTCCGAAGCCCCCATCACTAAGTTCCTACCGCCCCCCCCCCATCGAGGCCAGGAAGCTTCCCCATCTCATGTTAGAGACCAATACCTCCTTCCTGATTGCAATAGGCCCCTCCATCCCGACTGCTCACTTCCTGATGGCATCCAACACGGTCCCTTACTACAGACACCCTTTTCCTGTCTCAAACGCCCCCTCAACGACTCTTTCCAATCTCTGCCCTCAAAGATCAAGGGGCCTCCCAATGCCCCCTCTCTAACCTGCACTCTGGCGAGGGTAGGTCCCTATTAAGACAACTGTAGTCCAGGCTGCAAGTCTGAGCATCTCCCCTGAGGTGGGGCCTTAGGCGTGGTGGCCAAGGCCCACCCCCCCACACTTAGGTGACTCAAGGTCGAGACTCGCACTGTGCCTTGAAACAAGTCCTCTCCTCTAGTGGTTCCCACCCCTGAAATTATCTCCCTTTGGAAAGCAGGGGACTTGGGTCCTGCTTGGCACTGGCTCAGCACTGTTGGCTTAGGCTGCAGCAGGGACCTCAGAAGAGTCCTTTTCTCTAATGGCAACTGTCACGTATTAAAACCTAGTCCTGGGCCGGACACACAGTAGGCGTCCGATTAGTGAATATCCTTAAGACAACTGAAGAGGGGGTGGGAAAGGAAAGCAATTTTGCAAACTGGTAAGGACTATGTCCGTGTTAGATGGGCTCTAATGAGCACCTACGGTGTATCAGGCCCTGTGCTGAGCGCTTTTACGTGTTTGATTTCAATCAACAACCTTTGAGGTGGATGTGATTCAGGTCCGTTTTACACAAATGTAAAAGTGAGGCCCTGAGAGAAGTACCCCAGGTGTGTCTGGCTCCAAAGCTATGCTCTCAGAGATGCTCGGCCTCTTCCTCTATGAAATAACACTTCTGCCCAGGTCTCCCGCCACCCGATTCACTCCACAGGCCCTGGATCTCCAACGATGCCCACTTCTCACCGCTTAACTTTCTGATTTTTGGGAGAGCAGCCCAGGAGAACTGCGCAGGCGCTCACCTGCCCCCCCCCCAAGCTCCGCCCACGGGGCACAGTTGTGTGCGTGGAGCAACTCGCGGCGCCCCGCCTGAGCGTCAACACGCAGGCGCAAGGGCGCGTGCCCTCCGCTGCCGGCTCTGATTGGCTGCCGCGGGTAAGGGAACCGCCCAATGGGAGGTGTGGATAGTGAGGGGTCCCGCACGCCTGGAGCTGAGAGGGTCTGTGTCAAGAGCGGCGGGGGCTGCAGGAGGCGAGAGAGACGGGTGAGGGCGCCGCGGGGCGGGCGGGGAAGAGAGCGCTGGGCGTACGGAGGGCGGAGGGAGAACGAAGGGGACACCGGGGGACGGAGAGCCGTGGGGCCTGCGTTAGGGCGGGAGCGGCGCGGAGTGGAAGGAGAGCGCTCCTTCCTCTGTGCCCTAGAGCATTGATTCCGCTCGTGCGGCGTGCAGGACCCTTCCTGGAGCCCGCCGCCCCCACCCCTGCCCCTTGCAGGGCGCTCTCGTGCCGCGGACTTGATTAAGTCTGATCGGTGAAAGGGGACGTATAGCGGAAAAGTTCGAACTTCCAGGCCCGTGGTGGGTTCTTTCCCGGAAGGACTTACTGCCCCACTGTGTGAAAAGCCCCTATCCCCTCCGCACCAGTAGCACACAATCCCAAAATTGGGAAAGGAGGAAGGCAGACGAAAAGTCCCAAATTTTAGATTGCTCAGGCCACCTTCTGAAGGGACATTGACAGGGTGCCTACTTTGTGTAAGCCTTCCACCAGGCCTTGGGCCTTACCCCATGGGAGTTATGTTTGGAGTGTGGCTGTAAACAAGGAAAAAGCTGAACTCTGGGGCTCCAGGTCGACTCATTCCTTTACCGAATGGCTGTTGTGTGCAGGGCCGTAGTAACTGAGGTATTAGTGAGGGAGTTGGAATAAGTAGTTAAGAAAGAGTAACGCCTGGGCTTTTAGTGAATCATTTATTCAGGGACCATTTATTGGGCATCGAGTGAAAACAGGGTCACATGCTGGGCTGTGTTATTGTGGGAATTCACGGTCCAATGGGAAAGTTGGCCTGTTGTGAGAAGTGGAAGGGGCACAGGGAAAGTTAAATACTCATGGCCTCACTTCCTGGAGGGAGCATTATTCATTCACAGAATATCTACTGAGTACCTGTTGCGGGCTACAGGTAGTGGTGCTGGAAATACATCAGTGAGGAAGAGACCCAACTTTCCTGCTCTCTGGTAGCTTAATATGAGCAACTTTGCCTGCCTGGCTGTAATCTGAGCTCCACCTGCCCTTTGGAACTAACAGATGAGTTAAAGAAGAGATAGAGACGGTGGAGGTTGGATTCAGAAAATTAGCTGTGAGGCGTCAGTCATTTGCTAAAGGGTCTCTGAGCCCCTGCTGTGTGAAGACGCCTCGGTTGGGTTGGGTTGAGCCCACACATAAAGAAGGGGAGGTGGGGGCACGAACAGGGAAGTTAAAAATTCCTCTCCCAGGTCCATGGTTCTGTTGGTGACATCAACCCCTACAATAAATTAGACCTGCCCTGCCTGCATGGTCAGTCTGGAGAGGAGCACAGACTTGCATCCTGGGCACGTGTTATCTGCTACGATAGAGGTGGCACAGGTTGCCATAGGAACCCCAAGGAAGAAGGAGTGGACCTCACCCTCAGGATGCAGAGATGTCAAAAAAGGCCTCACAAAGGAAGTGCTAGGTAGGGGTTTGCTAGACCAGGAAAGGAGAGAATCTTCTTGGCAGAGGGAATAGCCACAGCAAAGATTTCGGGTTCAGGAGTAATACTCTGATGAACTACAAGTCATGGTTGTTGTATTTGACGTTTCTCAGGTACCAGGGCCTTCATGGTCAGTAGTACTTTTACCTCATTTCACAAGTGGCAGAACAGTGTCAGAGAGAGGAAGTGGTGGAGCTCAGATTCAAGCCAAGGGCATTCTGGTCCAAAGCCTGTGCTCTTGAGCGCTTGGCCGCATCTGTGTGTGTACATACGCTAGGAGGAGAGGTGGTGCCCAGCGAGGGAACTGCACTCAAAGGCAAAGGCTGAGGGGCATAAAGAGACAGGTATTCTTTTTTTTTTTTTTTTTAAGATTTTATTTGTTTATTGGAGAGCGAGAGTGAAAAAGGGAGCACAAGCAGTGGGGAGGGCAGAGAGGGGGAGAAGCAGACTCACTGCTGAGCAGGGAGCCTGATGTGGGGCTTTATCCCACGATCCCAGGATCATGACTGGAGCCAAAGGCAGACGCTTAACCAACTCAGGCACCCAGGCACCCTGAGACATGTGTCCTTAGAAAGGGGCAGCTGGCCCTCTGGGTAAGGAAGGAGGGTAGCATCAGAGGGGGCTGCCCCTGTCTTACAGATGCCCGGCAGCATGGGGCACGTGTCAGCCTCAGAATCCCACGTTCATTGAAGACTGAGGCACCAACACTGGATCCAGGCTTGCTGATTGGAAGAGGCTGGTGAGTAAGGGGATGGGCAGAGAAGCTCCTAAGCCACCTCCCTCTCCTGGGGCCCTGACGTTTCATCAGCTCCCCCTTCTTTTTCCAGGCACTGCCTTCCCCACCATGGCAGAGGTAGCGGCTGAGGTGGCTGAGCTTCCAACACAGATGTCACCAGGGGCAGTAGAGATGGCAATACCAATGTTAGGGGAGATGACAGAGATGTCAACAGAGGTGACGGAGATGACCCCTGGAGAGGCCCTGGCCTCATCCCTTTTCTTTCAGCATCACCAGTTCATGTGCTCTGAGTGTGGCAGCCTTTACAACACACTGGAGGAAGTCCTGTCACACCAGGAGCAGCACGTGCCCAATGTCACCGAGGACGAGGCTCTGGCCACCCAGGATCCGGGCTTGGAGCCAGAACTCCTGGCAGGGTCTGACGATGGGCCTTTCCAGTGTGGGGAGTGCAGCCAGCTCATCCTGTCCCCCAGTGAGCTCCTGGCCCACCAGGACGCCCACCTCCGGGAGTCTGCAAGCCAGATACAGTACCAGTGTGGGGACTGCCAGGAGCTCTTCCCCTCGCCTGAGCTATGGGTGGCTCATCGCAAGGCCCAGCACCTTTCTGCTGCAGCAGCTGAGCCACCCGGGCCACCCCCGCTACCCCCACCGACACCACCACCTCCACCTCCTGCTCCCCCTGAAGTGAAGATGGAGCCCTATGAGTGTCCTGAGTGTTCGACCCTCTGTGCCACTCCTGAGGAGTTCTTGGAGCATCAAGGCACCCACTTTGACTCCCTAGAGAAAGAGGAGCAGAATGGTCTGGAGGAGGAGGAGGAAGAGGAAGAGGAGGAAGACGATGAGGAAGAGACAGAGGAGGAAGAGGAGGCGGTGGCGGAGGTTGGCGATGATGCCACAGGAGGCAACAGGGCCACAGCTGGTCCAGCCCAGGGCTGTGGGGATTGTCCCCAGCACCGGACTTCAGCAGAGGCCCGCCGGCGGCACCGACGGACATCCCGGGGCCCCACATCGACAGCCCACCCCTTCCACTGCAACCAGTGCCAGCGCAGCTTTAGCTCGGCAAACCGGCTGCTGGCACACGGGCGGGCCCATGTCGGCGGCACACACGAGTGTACCACGTGCTCCAAGGTGTTCAAGAAGGCGGCCTCCCTGGAGCAGCACCTGCGGCTGCACCGCGGGGAAGCCCGCTACCTGTGCGTGGACTGTGGCCGCGGCTTCGGCACAGAGCTCACATTGGTGGCTCACCGGCGGGCACACACTGCCAACCCCTTGCACCGCTGCCGTTGCGGCAAGACATTCAGCAACATGACCAAGTTTCTCTACCACCGACGCACACATGCGGGCAAGAGTGGGGCGCCCCCTGTGGCGGCCTCCTCTTCCTCCTCCTCAGCTTCCCCGGCACCCACCATGCCCGCACCTCCCCCGCCACCCCCTGCACCCCCCGCCCAGCTGCCCTGCCCACAGTGCCCCAAGTCATTCGCCTCGGCTTCCCGGCTCTCCCGGCACCGGCGCGCCGTCCACGGACCCCCCGAGCGGCGGCACCGCTGCGGCGTCTGCGGCAAGGGCTTCAAGAAGCTGGTCCATGTGCGCAACCACCTGCGGACGCACACGGGCGAGAGGCCCTTCCAGTGCCACTCGTGTGGCAAGACCTTTGCTTCCCTGGCCAACCTCAGCCGCCACCAGCTGACACATACGGGCGTACGGCCCTACCAGTGCTTGGACTGCGGCAAGCGCTTCACACAGAGCTCCAACCTGCAGCAGCATCGGAGGCTGCACCTGCGGCCCGTGGCCTTTGCACGCGCCCCCCGCCTCCCCATCACTGGCCTGTACAACAAGAGCCCCTATTACTGCGGGACATGCGGCCGCTGGTTCCACGCCCTGGCCGGCCTGCGACTGCACCAGCGGGTCCATGCCCGAGCCAGGGCCGTGACCCTGCCGCCGCCCCGATCGCCACCTCCAGCCCCGCCCCGCCCCCCGAGCCTCAGCAGACCATCATGTGCACCGAGCTTGGGGAGACCATCGCCATCATCGAGACGTCCCAGCCACTGGCACTTGAGGACACGCTGCAGCTGTGCCAGGCCGCGCTGGGGGCCAGTGAGGCTAGTGGGCTGTTGCAGTTGGACACGGCCTTCGTGTGACGTGGCCAAAGAGCGGCAATAAGAGAGTTTGGTTGCAGCAGCAATTGTGGGCCCCTCTGGGGAGAAAGGGGACCACCCCCCGGGTGCCAGCATCCACCCTGGCCTCTTACCCGCTGACTCCTCACAACAGTCCTCCCCAGGTCTCCCTCGCCACTTTTCTCTGACGGGATACCGAAGCTCTGAGGTCTGATGCGATCTGTTCCAGGTCATCCCCACTGCGTTATAAAAGAGGGTCTGCCAAGGTTCTTTGTTCTGTATCCATCACCCTGGTGCCCAGCAATGTCAGGTGAACCTTTCCTGAGCCCTGACCATGTGCTAGGTCTGTGCAGGGTGCTGTCTCATACCTCCTCGGGTTCTCGCTTGTCCCTTAAGCCCTCACCTTCCCCGGACTCTGGGCACCCAGGACTTGGCTCTGCCTTGATCTCTGTGGACTTCCTAAGCTCACTTTTGACAATGTGGAGGGAAATCTGTAGGTACCTAGGGACTCTGCGGCAGGCCAGGTGGTGCTGGAGCTTCAGGAATGACTCAGAGTCAGGCTGTACCCCAGGAGGTGCACAGTGGGGTAGGAGGAACACACAAGTACAGATCGCCTTGCTTTCTGAGTGCGTCTCATTGATTTGTTCAGCCTGGGAGTCCTGCGGCCTCCTTCCCTTGCACATGCTGGGTGACGCTGGGGGCCAGGAAGGAGGCAGCTCTGTCCTGCCCCTGGGCAGCAGGCAGATACCAGCTGCGATGGGGATGTACGGGGACAGTGGGATCCCAGAGCAGGGAGCAAACCCCCACCACCACTACCACTCTAGGAGGGGTAGTCCTTGAGGAACAATTAGGAATCTGCTAACAGGAAGAGAACATAGCAGGCAGACAGCACTGCAAAGAGGGTGAGTTCTTGGTATACTTGGAAAGGGTCCAGTTATTCACAGCTACAATAACAGCAAACGCGACTGCCTAGCCGTGGCAGGCACCGTGGCTAGCACTGTGCATGGATTATGACGCAGCAGGCCTGTGAGGTGATCTCATTATTAGCCCCATTGTGTGGATGAGAAGACAGGGACAGAGACTCGCCCAAGGTCTCACATTAGGCAGCAGTGTCGCTGAGATTTGAATCCAGGGCGGGGGTGGGGTGGGTGCCTTCAGTCCGTGTCTGCCACCAGTACTGCCGAGTAAGGGACTGGAGACTGAGACAGGCATGGCAGCACTCAGAGGAGGCTCTGTTCCAACTGGAGGGAAAGTGAAAAAGTGAGCTGCTGTCACACAGCAGCTGACGTTTGATCGTACCTCGAAAGATCAAAGGTCTGAGGAACAGGAAGAACTTCCCAATTTTTTCAAAGGTTACCTGGGTTGGCAGTCCTTCTTCTGTAAACAAGTAGAGGGTTTATGGCAGGTCCCTGGAACAAGTTCCCGCCAGGCCTCTGCAGACCGAGGTGTTCAGGCAGGGGAGGCCATGGCTGAAAGGCGTCTGTGAGGGAGGCAGGTCTGGACCTGGGAAGGCCAGACTGAGAAGTGGGGGCAGGGTGGGTTAGTAGCGAGGCAAGGAGGGTCAGAAGTGGGGCTTAGGGCTCCCTGACATCAGGGTGGGGCAAGGGGGGAGGCTGAAGATGGTCTAGGAGGGAAAGAATGGGACTGGGCCAGGGTAGAGGCCCCCAGAAGAAGGGGAGGGACAACCTCCGTGACCTCACTGGCTGAACGGATGTGAGCCACAGGAAGGTAGGCGTGCCCGGGGTGCCCCTTGCCCAGACCAGCCTTTCTCTCCTCTCTGGTCTCCTTGCTTTAAGTATTCATCTTACAAACAAGGTGCTATCCAGAGAGCACTGAGCAGGGAAGGCCAGGGATTGTTCTGGGCAGTATACAGATGCCCCCTGGAGCTGGCCTGAGCAGACTGGAGAGTTCAGATGCCATAGGAACAGTCCCTGAACTCTGAGGACACGTTCAAAATTCCCCTTTTGGGGGCACCTGGCTCGCTCAGTAGAGCACGTAACGTTTGATTTCCAGATTGAGTTCAAGCTCCCCCTTGCGCGTGCGTAAACCCCCCCCCCCCCCCCCACACACACAGACTGGATATAGAGCTTACTTAACAAACTCCTTCCCTTTTTCTTCACAATTGAAGTCCGGTGGAGGATGTATCAGTTGCTCCTCAGACCTTCCACTTCTGGGGCCTCCCCCTCACATAGCATCGGCCCTGCATGGAGGAGATGCCCTATTCCTGTGCCCATGCCCCCCCCATCTGGCCCCCCAGCATGTTCTCCAAGCAAAGAAAGAAGCCAAGTTCTCTGCACCCATCTTCCCAGTATCCCTAGATGTGGGCCAGGTATGTGCCATTTAAAACAGAAATGAGAGCTTGGAGATGTGTCATGGTTTAAGAACAGCTCCCCTGCCCACTAAGAGTCCACATCCAGGCTGATGTGGCCTCAATGACCGCTTGTCACCTGGCGTCCTTGTGAAGCCCCAGGTAGCTCGGGCCATGGGACACAGAGCCCTCATGTTCAAGTCTTGACTCTGCCACTTCCACTCAGTGGCTTTGACCCCTGATCCCCTGTTCTCTCAACTGTCACCTGGGAACAACAGTGCCTGCCTCCCTCTGAAGGCAGCCCCCCAACACACACTAAGCCTCTGCTGTGGAGGAGCCAGACTGTTCATCCCATGTGCAGAGCTGAGGCCCGGGAAAGCTGGGTACGCGCATCAGGGCCAGGACTCAGGCAGCCCAGCCTGGGTTCACCCTGCCCCATTGCTGAGATGTCCTGTCCCAGTACCTGGGCACCTCCCTCACCTCTGTGGGAACAAGGCAGCCAGACAGGAAGCAGTTTTTCATGCCAATAATTTATTGAATGGAGGTCTGTACACAGGCAAACCTTACTGTGGAAACCAAGACATCCGGAGCTCCACCACCCCCACGCCCTCAGCCCTCCAGGGTGGGGAGAGGAGGGAGGAGACCTCAGGGGCAGAGGACAGGAGGGGGGACACAGCTGTAGAAGGGGGATGGGCCAGGTTGGACGGTGTGAATCGACGTTTTCTTTAAGAAAAAAATTATAACAATCTATTTACACCCGGGGGGGGCGGGGGGCAGGGAAGGGAAGAGGAATAGACGGGTCCGGTCTGGTTCTATTTACAAGGAACACAGGAGGGGAGGAGGGGTTGGAGGAGTGTAGGCCTGGGAGGAAGGGAGGGGGCCAAGGGGGTAGGAGGTCTCATGCCTCCAACCCCCCGTCCTTCCTACTCTTCCCTCCCCACAACCAGTTAAAATCCTCTTAAAAAGCCCACCACTGGGTGAGGCTGGTGAGGGAGGGACTGGAGGTAGGGACAGGGACTCATTTACCTCTGCCCTCTAGTCTAGGGGCCCAGCCAGGTCAGGAACTTGATGGGCTATGGTCCCCCTTCCCAGCCCCACCAGGGGCTCCCAGATGGAAGGGTGATGGGGGGGGCCCTCAGGAAGAGTTAGTGAGGGGAGCCGTGGCATCGGTGGTCTGCCAGTCTGGGCCGGTCTGAGCCTCACTTAAAGCTGAGGAGGGAGAAAAAGCAGAGTTACCCTGGGCCTCTCCGACCCCGGTCCAGGAGCAGGACCTCGGTGGGGGATACTGGTAGACACGGACAGCTGCCACTCTTAAGTCCAAGGCTACATCCGGCTACATCCGCCAACGCCAAAGGGCCAGGTTGGTCATGGAGTGACTCACCAGGGAGCCAGGCCCCACATAAAAGTGGGCAGCTAGAACTCAGCCCCCACCCACAGCACTGCCCTGAGGAAAGGCAGGCCCACTGCTGCCCAGATTTTCTTCCCCAGGAGACACAGGAAATCGGGATCCGTACAGGCAATGGCCTGTTTTTAAACGTGGGCAACAAATTTAACTGTTTATTTGTGTAAGCCAAACCTATCTCTTTGGTTTTCCAGTTAGCACTTAAACACAAATATAGGGAATCAGACTCTATAAAGGTGGCCGTTTGTGTCGTATACTGTCAATGCTCCACGAGTTCCACGCACATGCAGGGATCCCAGGGGCTGTGGGGACAGGCCTGCCTCCCAGGCTGAGAAAGGCTTTCATCCACAGCAGGTGGCCCCGACTTACCTTGTGAGGATGGAGTGAGGGAGGCAGTGCCCGCTGGGGACCTCAAGTGAGGAGGGATGAGAATGGCGTTGAGAGATGGCTGGATGGAGAGTTCTAGAGACAGGAATGGACAGGCCCAGTCAGGAGGTGGGTGCTGGGAGCTGGGGTTGGGCTTAGGAAGGGGCACCAGGTAGGGACCCAGCTCTTGGCAAGGCCAGCAGACTCTTGTAATCACTGAACAGTTTACATGACAAACCAGAAAGGGCCTAGCACAGGTGATTGCAGAGCATGGGTGAAGCAGTTCCGTGTCTCCTGTATCGGGGCCATCTCCTGAGCACCCCACTCCTAGCTCTAGCACCAAGCGCTCCTCCACAACGCTGTTGGCTCCCTGTACCCCACGCTGTGCCCTCACCTCCAGGACTGAAGTTGAAGAGGGGGGGAAGCGGGCGGTTGTTGGGGAGCTGGGTTCCGTGACATCGCAGTTCGTCAAAGAAGCTGTGGGCGCAGGCTTCCAGAGGGGAGAGCCTCGAGGACGGTGTGTACTCCAGCAGGCTAGAGCAGAGTGCAATGGCCTCCGGCGGCGTTCGAGATTTGAACACCTTGAGGGGAGGGGGACAAGTCAGGAGGGCGAGCGGCCAGGCACCGGGTACTCCTGCACCACACTGCTCCAGGGCCTGACTCCTGCACACCCACTTTCCAAATGAGGTATAACCACTAAGGAGAAGTCACTTTTTTTGCGGTGAACAGCTCACCCAGGTCCCATCACTGGACAGGTCCTGCAGTGAGCCTGTTTCCCCAGCAGAACAATGACACTCTTGAACTTACCACGGACCCTCAACTTCTAGAGAATGGAAGATGCCATAAACTTTGAAATCTGAACAGACCCACTCCCAAACCCTGACTCTATAGCCAGGTCCCCAGACCAGCTGGCCTCCAGAGGGGACGTCGACCTTGCTGCCTGAGCCCCCAGCCCTGCCCCACCTTTGTCCAGGGGTGAGCTTTAATCTGGGGAAACTTGAACTCCGTGTAGTTAGGGTTCATCTCTCGGATCTGTTCCCGGGTTGGTGTACCCAGCACCTGGAGAGAAAGGGAGGGGTCTGAGCCACAGCTCCTAGCCCAAGGCCCTGTCCCCGCCCACCCAGCCACAGCGCCCTCACCTTGATGATCTCCACCAGCTGATCTACCCCGCTGTCCCCAGGGAAGATGGGCTGGCCCAGGAGGAGCTCGGCCAGGACGCAGCCAGCTGACCACACATCTGAAGGGGGTGGGGGAGGGTCAGGGCTGCCCCATCCATCCCCTCACAAACACTTCTCTTCCCCACAGTCATCCTGAGGGTGCCAGGAGAGCCCCATTTTCTCAGCCCCAGCTCAAAGTCCTACACGGTTTAGGGACACGGGAGCCCGCTGTTGAACCTCCAGGTCAGGGATCCCTGGGTGGCGCAGCGGTTTGGCGCCTGCCTTTGGCCCAGGGCGCGATCCTGGAGACCCGGGATCGAATCCCACATCAGGCTTCCGGTGCATGAAGCCTGCTTCTCCCTCTGCCTGTGTCTCTGCCTCTCTTTCTCTCTGT